TTTTTAGTTCTCGGCGGACACAACATCTTTGTTGGTATGTGGTGCTGAGGATCGAACCCGGGCCGCACGCATGCCAGGCGAGCGCACTACCACTTGAGCCACATCCCTAGCCCCCCCATCTTTGTTCTGTTTGCCTGGAAAACTTCTATTCTTCTTTCACTAAGTTTGGGATTTTTTTTTTTTTTTTTTTTTTGGTCTTGCTTAGTGGTAGTGGGTGGAGGTTGAAGTCCAGAGCCTTGTGTATGCTTGGCTGGACAATTCCCACTGCCCTTTCCTAATGAGATAGGTTCACTAAGTTGCCCAGGTTGGTCTCAAACTACTGTCTCAGCCTCCTGACCAGCTGTGACTATGGTGTGGAGCTGTTTTTAGGAAGCCTTTATTTTCAGCTCAAGGTTAAGTTAGTTCTGGGTACGCTCACAGCTCTGATACTTTCACTGTCACAGCACCCAAATAGTAGGCAAAACTGATTTTCTTGTTTGTATCTCCTATGAGGCTAAGCAGGGAGTCCAGTGATGCAAAGAAAGTTGAAGTCAGAGGTTTGAAAAGAATGAATTGTAGAGAATGGAAAGGACCTGGTTTAGAAATGAGCAGTGACTGGTTAGCAATGAAAGTCCAAGCGAGGCTGGAAAAGAAAACTTAGAGACATACAATGTTGAGATTCTTTTAGCATCTTAGCCATAGGTGCTTGAATACTGGTGGATAATTCAATCTAAGATTACAGTTTTGTTTGGCAACTAAAATGAAATAATGGTAGAGGCACCAAGAGCACAGGCAAGAATGTGGTCACAATAATGGAATGTAGAATCTACACTATATAGGTAAGGAAGACAAGCTAGAAACAGACCAAAAGGGCAGAAGGATAGGTTGCAGGTCTCAGTGGAATGGAAGAACAAGTTTGGTGGAAATGACAGTGAGGAGGACAGGAGGCTGTAGTTCCAGGTTCTTTGGATTTAAGATGGGAGGGGTGGGCAGGAAAGAGCAAGGATTTAGTCTCATGTCTTCCATCCCCCAAAACAAAACAAAAAGAACAGATTATGCCACAGGCTACTGGTAAAATTCCCCTACTGACAGTCTGACCTTGCTGGCAGTATAGTTCCAAAGTTCTGCTGGAAGTCAGCTCTACATCCTCAATCTATCAAGGCACACCAATGGTAAGAAAGCCTGTCTTTTGCTCCCACAAAACTGGTCCCTGGATAGATAGGTACCTTGGTAATAGCTCTAGTCCCTCACGTGTTTAGGGAGTAAAACAGTTCACTTAAGGAGCATGTATTAAGCTGCCTAGTATATATGAAAACATTGCTAGATCCTGAAGATACAAAAACAGATATATCAGTCTCCTTTGAGGAGTTAGCAATTAACAAGAGATTTTATATAAATAAAATGAGGGTACAGAGAGATGAATTGCTATGAACAAACCTGGAAGGAGAGGGGAAAGAAGGCTTTATAGAGATGGTGTTGTTTGTACTGCCCCCCCTATCACCCACCTCCCCCAAAAAGTTCTCCAGGCAGGTAAATAGGAAATGGTAGATTGGGCAGTCTATGCAGGAAGAACAATATGAGGCCTGCAGGCTTGAAAGAACACCATGTTCAGGATTTGAACTCAACTGCAGGACAGAATTCCAGAAAGGGACTATACCTTAAGAAATTCTATCTATCTATCTATCTATCTATCTATCTATCTATCTATCTATCTCAGAACTAGAATACAGGTCTGAGAGGATTCATATGTTAAGCTATTTATACTTTATCTCATATACTCAGGGTCAAATCTTGTTGTACATCAAGATTGGAGCTTGTTCAAAAAAATAAAAAAGCTGACATACAGCAAGCCCTCCCCTGAGTTACAGATTTTTAAAGATCCTTCCAGTAGCAGTGTGAAAAATGATCCAAGGGAGGGTGACCACACTAACAAGATGGCTGATACAGTAACTGAGGTGAGAGAGGATGGAGCTCTTTCCAAAGAAATGGTGGAAAGCAAGTATTGGAAGATATTTGGGCAATAAGTAGAGGGAATTTAATGACACTGATATTTGGGAGAATTGAGATCAAGGTCCTATTTCTGGTTTGAGACACCAGGTAGTTGTGATGATTTCAATTGGACCAATGGTGAATGCCCATAATCCTAGTAGTCAGGAGGCTGAGTTCAAAGCCAGCCTCAGCAACTTATCAAGGCCTTAAGCAACTCAGGGAGACCCTGTAGCAAAATAAGGTATTTAAAAAAAATTATTTCCAAGTTACTGTAAGTTGCTTGGGGGGGGGGGCGGGTACTGGTGCTTTATCAACTGAGCTACATTACCTAGACTTTTTTATTTTTATTTCTAAATTTAGGACAGGGTCCTGCAAAATTTCTGAGGCTGGCCTCAAATATGGGCCCAGCTTATAAATTACTTTTGTAGTTACAAAAATCATTCATTATTGAGTCTGTTCCGYGCTGCACATCTGTAGTCACAGTTCCTCAGGCCGCTGAGGCCGGAGGATTACTTGAGCCCCAAGTTCCAGGCCAGAATGGGAAACATAGCAAGACCCCTTTGGGGGGTGGGGAAAGAATGACAAGAAAAATCATAGTCTAATAAACTCAAACCCCTACTTCCTGGAACTTCACCTGTTTATAGGGAGAAAGGCTGAGTCAGAGAGAGCAATGACAGAGGTGGGTAAATAAAGGAATTCTGAGGCCTGAAACCTCTTAGGATTTTTCACAGTACTTCTTTCCCTGGGGAGAGAGAACTTTAAGTCAACTTCCATACAAGTTATTCCCAGGTAGCCAAGCATAAGTCATTGCCTAGAGGTCAGACTTCCGGAAATAACTCCCCTGACTGCAGAGCCCATTTAAAAATAGCTGAGACAAGCAAGTCCTAATTACATGCCTGTAATTCCGGTTGGGGGCTGGGGCAGGAGGATCACAAGATCTAGACCTGTCTGGGCAACCTAGCGAGATCCTGTCTCAAAATAAGATAAAATAAAAAGGACTGGGGCTGTAGTTCAGTGGTAGAGCATGGGGAATGGGGGGTTACATCCCAGTACTAAGAACAAAAGCTGAGGCAGACAATGACGAAGTTTTTCAAGATAATAAGCAAACAAAATTAAGAGAATCCCAAATAATGCACCTAGAGCATGTATCTAGAGATCTAAGCACAAAGGTATCTAGAGAGTCGAAAAGTCAACAAGATTCTTTACCTCCAATTAAAAACCCTATAAGCAGCCCAACTCGCCGATGGAAGTGAGACACCCTATCTCCGCGTGCCTCTGCACCTGACCCGGCTCTGGCCTACTTATCGCCAGGCACTGAATAGTCGTCGCACGGCCAGGGAAGCCTCCAGCAGCTTTGGGAAAACACTTCAAATATTTATCATTCTTACGCGGAGCCACTGTTGATAGGTGGAAGGAATGAGGCTATTCAGGCGTAGTATCCTTGCATGAGACCGACGTGCAAATCCTCACCCAGCTTGGGTTGGGGGCCACCAACCGCCTCCCAGGGCTCGCCCCG